ATTTTTGGCTGTTTTGTTAGTCGATTTTTAGGCTGTTAACGACTATTTTCTTGGGCCTTTTCGTTGTTCTTCGTAACAGCCGTTAAGGCAAATCAATCGGAAAGTTATGCAGATGAATTATTTTCGCATTATGCTTAACATAAATTATATACATCTGCTAAAAAAATTTATCTGCCAACTTCTATGTCGAATCTTAATTTATCAAGTAAAAAATATACACATATTTAACGAAAACGAAATTAAACATATGTATTTGTACTTACTGATTTGAAGTAATTGACCGAGAATTTTTTTTCTTCAGCTATCGATATTTTTGAGATTTTCAGAGTGTAGAAGATGAGAGAATTTTTATCTGTATTTGAGCTGATTTCGTAATGCTATGTAGGGAGTGTTTGGTTTTTATTTGTTAACTAAAAGGGCAGTGTTGTCTTTTTAACAATATCATATTTTGTAATTATATTATTCACTTAAGGGTATTTTTGTCTTTTAAATACCATTAGGCCATTTTGAAGTTATTCACTTGTTAAAAAGTCAAAATGGAATTATGGCCTTTTGACTAAGCCATTCTTAAAGTTACCCCTATGTCCGCACATATATGTTTGTACCTAGTTTGTATCTGTTTGTACCTACCTAAGTTGTAAGTTGTATTATTAAGAAAGGTTAAATTGCATCTTCTGTCTCCATCTTATACTACATTTGCACTTCAATCCCCAGCCTCTATTTCTTACCCTTTCTACCTACAGTCTTTCATAAATTAAACGGCTATTGTACCATTAGCAGTTTCGTCCATGAAAAAATTGCTTTAAAATCTCGATAAATGAATATTAGATAAATTAATAATCTAGTTTAAATAATTTAAAGTTTTTGGTTCCGACTCAAGCTAGTTTACTAAATTAATAATCTCATTAAATGTGTAAGATAAAATTTTATTTGAAATTCTTTTAAGGCGTAATGAAATTATAAAATAATAATTGATCAAACACAGTATTGTACATATTAAAGAACTTTTTACTTGAAATTTTTTACCTTTTCAATTCTTATTTTTTTTTTTTAAAAAACATTTATCTAAATTTGCTTGCTTTTTTCTAATTACTCTAACCGAACTCAACCTCATTATGCAACGCAAATATTAATTTGGTATATTTTTCATTCTGTATAAAGTAATTATTTAAGATTACAATGTTTGAAACACATATATTTACACGTTTATTTTAGTTGAAGACTTTATATATATGTGTGCACATTTATTCTAGTTGAAGACTCGACATTATTTTTCGTTCATTATATACAAGCGATAGTAAGTTTCTTCAAAAAGATTTGCTCGATCCTTGTCAAGAGTATGTAATTAAACTCGATAAATAAAACAAAATCTAAGTACTTCACTTTTAGTAGTACGTTAAATTGAGTAATCCTCTTAACCAGTCTTTTTTGAATAAACAAAATAAAAAATTAATATTTACTCGACTTAAGTCAAGAATGTATAGTAGATTAAGTAATTATCTTTAACTTGAAAAAAAAAAAAAAATAACAGCATTCTCAACAACGACACACAAATTGCAATGAACTATTGGAATTCTTTAAGTATTTTTATTTCTTCATGATGCATAAATATCATGTATAGATGTTTCTGGGTAAATGAATTGTTGAAAATTAAGCACACACTTTTGTAATCACTTCATATTGTTTGGCCTTTAAGCCAACGGCTATAAAAATCCAACGATTCTTGTGGCTTGTATTCAGGAACAGTATGCCCCGCTCCCTATATTATAAAATAAAAATTATGTTAAAATCTTTGATCAATTACGTTGTATGAATTAGAAAACCGACAAATGGGGTGGAGATAAATGGGTTGAAAAACACTCCAAATACCTTGATGGTGAGGAATGTGAAGTCATTAGCATATCCCTGAATATATCTGCATAAAACAAGTAATACACTTTTATCCATCAAAGAATTGATGTCACATTATCGATTATTAGTATAAGATGAGTATTGGTGCTCATTAGATCATTTCTCTATGTTACCCTGCGACTTGGCTATTAGATGTCCACGGCCTCCACTCGTCGACTATTTCATATCCAAGTGATTCTGTCCACGCTTGAGTTCCAGTAAAAGGGACACACATGTCATGATCTCCACTGTGATAAACGACTTAAATTGATTAATTGGTAATCACTTATGTATATACTAGTCAATGTTGAACGTGCATTACACGTTATTATGAAATACTTTATAAATGCTGTAAAAGTAATATTTGAATATGTCTGAATGTTAATTAAATTAAATATAATACCAAGAAATATATACGTGATAATGAATGTTAAATCATTTATTTAATTTTCAATTAAGTAAAACTAGATGTTAATTAGCATATATGAATGTGAATAATGAAATACATTCTTGAACGTGAAATTGAATTATAGCAGAGTTAGAATTGTTTAAAAAATGATTCTCAGTTGATGTGATATTTAATATATTATAGATAATAAAAGGGATAATTAAATTACCTATATATTAGTACCCTGTATCCACTGGCAGTTAAGTTTTTGTGGTAGCTTATCATGCTTCCAGCATTATGATAATAGCGTATGTTACCTGTGCATAGGCTCCATTCTCCACTATCCTTAATTATAAAAATTCAAATAGATTAATTAATTAATTAACCAATACAACTTTTAATTAGTTTCTAATTATTATTGGTATTTGGATACGTACCGGATCAGCGTGAATTGCCTTCCTAACCTGCTTGTTATTCAGCCATACAGTTGCTACTCTATCATCCTGCATTCATTAGAGTGACTTCAATGACACGGAGAAGAAATACAAGTCTACATGCTAGAAAGATTCCATTGTGTACAGAAAACGGCATTGGGCTATTAAAGGATCAAACGTCTATAAGATGCCTGTAGTAGAAATGAGGACACTAAGATGGATACTGGTCCTACTAAAATTGATAAGATAAGAAACGAGAGCAGATTGATCATAAATTAAAGAAATGACGACTCGTGTGATTGAGACATGTTTTATATTGACCTAAATATGTACTTTTCTCCATAAGAGCAACAAGATTTAGATAGAGTAAGTCGGTGGTGCGGGTGGGGGTGGCTGTTGGGTGGGTGGGGGCGGGGTTGAAAACCGACAAGGCATGTTATGGTCAATAACTATCTAGACAAATTGTGAAGAATGATCATGTAATGGACCTTAAACTTAATGAGAATAAGACTTTATTTGTATTACTACTTTTTCGTGTTTTTGGTACTTACTATGCATGGAACACGGACACTTTCCATTAATTGCGGCCACAAAGGAATAAGTCCATCTTTAACCGGTGCTCGATAAGGCCAGGCCCGACCAAACATTCTCTTTCTAACGGAGAGTGATTTATTATTTGACATTCCCAATTGCTTGAAGCTTTCAGGCAACTGACTACTTGCACTTGGATTGTGGTAGCAAGGTTCAAGGATATCATAAATGTTTAAACCATGTAAAGCCTGCACACCAACAAAAATCACCAATATTAATATCTACTCAATAAAAGTTAGCATATTGAGAATGGACACACTTAAAAATGCACTTTTAATTCGCGTCTTAATACCTTTTCGATCTTACTTAATGCTAACTCACAGTCTTTGCTGTTGTAGTTGTTGTAATTTCCCTTACACGTGACTTCAGCTGACTGTAATAATCACAATTAAATGTGAATTTCGCAACTCAAACCAAATGTATGAATAGCAATTGTACCAATTAATTCAACAATGAAACATGACCTTATACAAATTATCCGAGATTAGGCCCATCCCATGTGCGAATGGGACAAGAGCATTCCCATCAAAACTACGATCACATACTCCATTTCCAACCATGTAACCCTGCATCACATTCATTAAATCGAATCCTTTTACAACAAAAATGAAGCAGAAATTATTAGGGGAAGGCCAGGCACAGGCAAAGGCATGTACCTTAAAATTGATAACAGGTTTTACACCACTTTTGATGCCTACAACCAAATATTATACAAGAATTTTTATCCAATAATTGGACACAAGTTCAAGATTCCATCTAATATATAATTTGTACCTTTGTCAACATCAGAAGCAAGAGTAGGAACATAAACCCCAGCGTAAGACTCTCCTGCAATATAAAATTCATTGCCAACAAACTCCGGAAATTGTTCGAACCACTAAAAAAAAAAAAAAACACCAAGAAAAAATTAGCATATAATTATATATATGCAAATAGCCATAGGTGAGTATGAAGTGTACCTTGAGGAGAAAAAGGTGAGTATCAAATGCAGTCTGCAAGTCTCCGGTTTCGTAGATGGATGCGTCAACAGAGTATGAGAAGCCAACGCCAGCCGGAGAATCCAAATAGATCATGTTTGATACCTACCCGTAGAAAAATTATTGCCCTTATTTGGTTTAGATAAAAGTCAATTTTTTAGTAAATTTTAATAAAAAGTTATGAAATGTGTGGTTGAAAAGTTGATAAAAGTTATGGATCCCATAAAATGTATGGTTGAAAATGAGTTTCACCAAATGGGGACCAAACCGAAAAAGAGTTCTAATATTAATAAACTTATTTTTAAATATAATTACCTTAGACCAACTGTGGGGATTGAGCTGCAAAGTGGGCAATCCCCCTTCTTGCTTTGCTGCATCAAAATTAAATGGCCCTGTGGATAATATTTGCATTTGAACTGGTTAGAAAACAGAATAAATCATTGGTTTTGTGTTTTCAATTGTAGAATATAGGATGTTCTCAGTTTACCATGTTCATAGACAAAGCCATCAAAACTAGAACAGCCAGGTCCACCGTTGAGCCACAGAACCACTGGATCGACCGACGGATTTTTTTCCGATACTACAAAGTAGTAATATAGATTTTTCGAAGTCTGATTATCTTCATCATCAATTGTAACATACCTGAATATATATTTTTATATGAATCAAAATAAACATGGTTAATAATTATGATTTTTCGCAGACATATACGTACCCTGCGTGGTGTTTTGACGGAAAACTACCAGTGAATCCCGGAAGACTTTTGACTAATGAACCTTGAGGAGCTGCTTCAGTATTAATGTTAATAAAACAACACAGCATGCAAAATACTATAATTACCAGACATAATAATCCGGGTTTCGCCATTGACAAAATCTAAATCAATAAGAGAGAGATGGGGGAAGATATGAATTTGTTTGGAATGAAAGTGATAATATTGACGTCAAGGCATCTTTTAAGTAAATTTGTCTTTAGCCGGGCGGGAGGGACTAATGGAGGAGTAGATAAGAAGATGATGATTTTCGCATGAGGGCATGAGATGAGACAATAATCAAACGGCAATGATGGGAGGGCCCAGGCGTAAATCCCTATATATGAGTATTGTATCTCATCTGCATGGAATACAATGGAATTACATGTTTTACTTGCTAATCTGGAAGGCAGATACTCGATTGAAGACCGGACTGAGGTGAGGCTAGTGAGGCCCTCGTTTGTGGTCCAAACTCAACGGGGACCATGAAACTTGGAATTTATTTATTTTTAATTAGTCCTTTAATATTTTGAGCTAGGACAAATTTGAACCACCCCAAGTACTCGTCCCGGAGCTCAGTCACAAACTTGCTGACGATAGAATGTCACGTGGCATTACATCATTGGATTGTTTTAAAAATAATCAACATTGTAATCCAATCATTTTTTGCCACAACTTCATCTGTCAACCAAGGAGTTACATTTCTCTACCAAAATAGCATAACTCGCACAATAATTTGAAAGGATTCGACAAATTCAATCTATCTGAATCCCAAGATTTCAAAAATCCTCTCAAGTCTCTACTGCACTCTACTCCTTAAGAAGTGGTTCACTAAAAATTGAAGTTTGAAGTTGGATCGTCGCCACAACCGTCCATCCTGGTTGCGCTGCTAAAACCCCTAACCCACTAATTTGAGTACTTGTTTTCAGTTCGTGACTCGTGAGAAGGCTCAAGACTCTGAATGTTTTTTTTTACGTCTTTTTGCTTCAATTTTTTGTTTTCTTTGAATCCGTATTTTGATTACTGTTTCTATTATGAAACATTAATCCTCAAGATCAGAATTACTATGCGAATTGAATACAAAAAAAAACTTTTGGATCTAAAAGAAGATAGGCCGAAATTTAAAAAATGGGGTTTTGATACATGAATTGACATTTTTTCCCCAGTTGAAGTTGATCAAGATTTATTTACAATCAACTATGTTAAAGGATTGAATGGATTGTCTGTGTTATCAATTGAAGAGATATGATTGAACAACTATATTATTCAAATTTAATTAATATTTTTGCCTTTACCTTTATTATTTGATTATAATTTTGTTTGTTGTTTTATTGTTGTGTTTTAAGTTAACATTTAGTTATGTGAAACTCTTATAGATACAAAAATAAAAAATAAAAATTGAATACGTACGACAATTAAGGGGGCCATTGGGAGCTCAATTCGTAAGGTTCACCTTTAGTCCCGAAAATCAGAGGTCCAGCCCTGATTCGATTATAATATCTTTTATTTGGGTATACCTTGTATTTCTTTTATGTTGTACTGGAAGTGAGTGCCACTAAAGTATATGTGGAGACGTGGAGATAATGGATGCATAAAATTTTACGTCAAGTGTATGAAGGAGAAAGTTTATCTCATTGTTATCTTATATAGTCAAAGTTAGGAATGATAAGATACCAAAGAATTGTCTTTTAGATTTTGTGGGTGGTTCGGAAACCTCAAGAAAACAGCATACCGACTGTTTAGTCAACTCATTGGCTTCTTAATTAGTATGTTGAATCATGCGAGCAATGGTGTAATTAATCATTGTTTTGAAGAATAAATACACTAGGATAAGAGCTCTACATGTGTATTTTTTATTTTATTGGGGGTGTCCCAGTCACTTTTCTAAGATAATTAAATATATATTAATGAGCACATAATTAAAATTAAACAAAAGAAATGAAGAAAAAGTTCCGGTTGGTTTGATTGAACAAGACTTTTACGTAGTATTTGGTGAGTCATAAATTGACATGAACAAATTAATTAAAGTTGGTAGCAGTTGCAAATTTGAGAAATTTCAGAGCCCAAAAACTATAAATGCCCATCTAATTTTGACTTTATATACACACCTCTGTTTACCTTAAACTAAAATATGTTTACTTGTCATTTTGTGCACGACTCTCCAATTTGTGATTGAGACTCTTTGGCTTGTTAATGATTATATTTTAGTAAATTTTGATAAAATGTCGACTTCAGAAATTGCTAATCAAACCCTAACATGTCGATTATTTGTTTTATATTTATTCGAGGTGGGGTGGGATTTATCCCTTAATATAAATTATCAGTCCTCCTAACTTGTCTTTTGAATATAATTAAAATTAAATTAAACATTTATTCAACTTAAGTCAAGTCAAGAATGTGTACTCGAGATCCTTCTTAACTTGAAAAAAGAAAAATCAAACAGCGATTCAAAGTTCCAACATCGATAACAATAACACTCCTTGACAATATAACATCATCATATTGTTTTGCCTTGTAGCCAACGGCTATAAAAATACAGCGATTCTTGTGGCTTGTACTCAGGTACAGTATGTCCCGCTCCCTATATCATTAAATAAAAAATGCGTTAAAGCTTTGATTGAATTTTTTGTACAAAAGCGACAAATCGGAGAATATAATTTATTTTCTAGAAATTTAGTACTACCCACCTTGATGGTAAGGAATGTGAAGTTATGAGCATATCCCTGAATAAACCCTGCAACTTGTCCATTAGTTTCCCAGGGCCTCCATTCATCCACCACTTTGTATCCCAATGACTCTGTCCATGCTTGAGTTCCAGTGAATGGAACACACATATCATGATCTCCACTGTGATAAACAAATTAATTATTTTGTAAACAAAATTAATTAATTATCCAAATTAATTAATTACGTTACCTATATATAAGTATTCTGTATCCACGAGCAGTTAAGTTTTTGTGGTAGCTAATCATGCTTCCAGCGTCATTGTTATAGCTAATTCTGGATGTGCATAGGTTCCATTCTCCACTCTCCTTAATTATACAAAAAACTTTTAATTAGTTTCTAATTATATTTAATTATACTTAATTATGTAGATAATTTACTTACAGGATCAGCGTGTATAGCCTTTCTAACTTCCTTGTTATTCAGCCATACTCTTGCTACACTGTCGTCCTGCATCCATTCAGCTTAATATTTTATGAAATTCACAACTTTTATCAGAATAAAAATATTTAAACCGATAACTTATAATAACTAAAAAATAATCTAACATACGGATTTGTGGTACTTTTAAAATAAATATTTTAATAAATATACCGATAAGAATGTCATCAATAAATAGATTACTAAACATATAAAAATGAAATATTAATGAAGGAGATTCCACAGGAAATGAAATTATAGGTGAAAAATTACTACTTTGATAGTTATATTCTAAATAAAAACTGAAAAAATGAAAGACAACCAAACTTGCATAATAATGGAAAAAAGTTCACCAAAGAATAAATATCTTTTGTTCAACAATTGAAGAACTATCAGTAATTATCTACGACGTTATCATTGATAATAGTCGACGGCTGTGCATCGGTTATCAGCAACGACATTGTCATAAATGATCCCTTACTGTATATAATGGATTACATAGGTCCATGTGCAAGAAATTAGGCCGTGTATGTGAAGTGTGGAAATGTCAAAAATTGTATACTACCGATGGATGCGCGCCTCATGTCAATTATGTAATGTATTATGTAAATAATTATGTACTTGTAGCATGATCCCATTCATTTTTCTATTTAAAGTACTTTTATGTTACTTTTGGAAAAGTCTCTCAAGTGAATTTATCCACGTTGCTTGAGCCGACTCTGCTAATCTATCGCGTAATAATTTTATGCTTTTGTTACTTACAGTACATGGAGGGAGGTGGTTATCCATTAATTCTGGCCACAACGGAATAATTCCAGCCTTGACTGGCGCCCGGAATGGCCAGGCTCGGCCAAACATTCTCTTCCTAACTGGAAGTGGTTTACCAGATGACATTCCTAACTGCTTGAAGCTTTCTGGCAACTTGCTACTTGTATTTTCATTTGCTCCTGAATGGCTATGGTAGCATGGTTCAAGAATGTCATAAATGTTTAGATCATCTAAAACCTGCAAGAGAATAATCAATTGAAATTAATATAGTCCACTCACTAAAAGTTAGCAAATTAAGATTACGTGTTTTAACTACCTTGTCAATTTTTTTTTTTGCAAACTCACAATCTTTCTCGTTATTATTGTAGTTTCCATTGCATCCAACTTCAGCTTCCTACAATAATCATCAATAAAAATCGGTGCAACGGTTTCTTCTACTAAAAAAAAATAAAATTGACTTTTTAACGATCAAATAGACAGAATATCGGGGTACCAATACAAATTGGAGAAAAAAGGGTTGGGATAACCTTATATGTGGGGTTGGTAACACATAGTGTAACTTATCTGAAAACTGAATTATGTATACCTTAAACAAATGGTCTGAAATCAGGCCCATCCCATGTGAGAATGGAACAAGAGCATTCCCATCAAAAGTATCATCACACAACCCATTTCCAATCATGTAACCCTGCATCATTTCATTTTTGGTATTTGCTTATATAAATGATAAATAAAGCAGAAATTAATAGAAAAAAACTATGTAATGTACCTTAAAATTAATAATAGGTTTGGCCCCACTTTTGATGCCTTGTATGCATGGAAAAAACAAGTATTATTCAATAATTTGAACACAAAATTGAGAAATTTTATCAAGTACCTCTTCGACTCCTTTTACATACCTTTGTCAACCTCAGAAGCAAGAGTAGGGATATAAATCCCAGCATATGATTCCCCAGATATATAAAAATCGTTGGCGACGAACTCTGGAAATTGCTCGAACCACTAGGGAAAATGATCGAGATGAAATTAAATTAATTCTCGAATTAGAATTATTTTGCACGAATAATTAATATCGTATATGTGAAATTACCTTAAGGAGAAAATTATGAGTATCAAGTGCAGTCTGTAAGTCTCCAGTTTTGTATTTGGATGTGTTCGCAGAATACGAGAATCCAACACCCGTCGGAGAATCCAAATAGATAATGTTTGATACCTTTTAAATTAATACCGAAAAATAAAATTATTAACTATGTATTGATAGTTTGCCATGAATGGAGAAAAATAATTAATTTTGAATAATTCATGATCTTAATAAATACCTTAGACCAACTATAGGGATTGAGATGCAAAGTTGGCAATCCCCCACCTTTTTTTACTGCACCAAAATTGAATGGCCCTGTGGATAATATTTGCATTTATAACTTGATAGAAGCTTCACAAATAAATATTTGGAATTTTTTTTATTAAAATGGGAGGAAATTGTAATTAATGTTGTGGGTTTTGTAGTACGTTTACCATGCTCATAGACAAAGCCATCAAAACCAGAGCAACCAGGTCCACCATTGAGCCAAAGAACGACTGGATTAGTTGTTGGATTTCTTTCCGATGAAACAAAGTAGTAATAGATATTTTTGGGAGGACGACCATCTCTATCAACAAGTTTCACATACCTGCATAGTGTTTCGAAGGGAAACTGCCATTGGTGAACTCAATGATAGGAGAAAATTAAATTTAGATGTATAACAAAGAGAAATGTGTCTACCCTGCGTAGTGTTTCGAAGGGAAACCGCCATTGAATCCAGGAAGACTACTCACTAATGAGCCTTTTGGAGCTGATTCAACAAAACAACACAGTTGTATGCATAATGCTATAATTGCTAGAAAGATAAATCTGTCCATAGCCATTTCAAATAAAAAAGATATGTAGAATTGATGAAAAATTGGTTGTCTATTTTCATTACAATGCATCCTTTTATATGGGAAATTGCATGAAATTACAATAATCCATCTCAAAGAATCAGAAATCCAAATCAGTTTACAAAATATGAAAGTTATACTCAGTCATATACTTTATTGGTAAAGAGAATTATATAGAAGGAAATTGCAATAATCAATCCTGGAAATTGAGCAATCCAACTTAATTTACAAAATCTATATTATACATAATAATTATGAATAATGCTACTTAGATAAGTAATTTTATTTCATATGAGATTACAATAACAAATATGATAAAGTCAACGAAGTGGGTCCCATATGCACACATTTCGTGCATTACCTCTTTCCACGTCGAAAGGGAATAAATAGCATTACTAATGCTGATAAATAGTTTTATTTTAGAATAATGTTATCTAACATTAGTAGTGCTACAACATCAGTTTATGTGACACTATAATAATAATAATCTAATTGAAGGTTAATGAGTAAAACTTAGGGGACCTTCATTGCAATTAAAACGTGGTGTAATTAGTAGAAAATATAGTGAATATAATTAGCCATTTGTGAATTGTTTCGATATTTTTATAGTGTAATTTTGGATAAGTCTTTAGTAGCTCAAGTAATTTTAAGGCTCATAAAATAAGTTCGAAAATCTTCTTTCAATATATATATACATACACACACATTGCATGTGCAAATTTCCAACTACTGATAGAACACTCGTATAAACTTCGGAAATATTGTTCATTGTACTTGTGTAACAATTTTTTTTTTTTAACTAATCACGATGACACTAGAGATGATGTAAGTGTTATATATTCGTTTCGCGTCACTGTCAATCTGTATAGACCTGTGCCGGAGACGGCATAAGGTAGCACCTGGCTATGAAAAGAAAAATTCCAATCAAATAACTGCTCTATCCATTCCCGTCATGGAAACAAATTTAGCAGAATATATGGCTCTCTATGAAGGAATCTCCACCAGCAGAATCGATTTCAATTGATAACATAAATCAATTATTTTTAGCAGCTTACTATACTGATTATTTTCCGTGACATCAAGTTCTGCTTTCACATTACACAACGAAAACATCACAACATTAGGGTGCAAATGATTTGTTATTTTCAAATTGTTTTCATTTTCTCAAAATACCCAAAACTTGTTTGGTCAATATATATTTTCATAAGCATTTTCGAAAATAGGGTTAAACTTAAAACATAAAACTCATTTTTAATGTTTTCAGTGAAAACCCTAATAAATTCTATTTACATCAAATTATAAAAATTAAAAATTGTAAAAATATATTATGAAATTCTTAAAAATAAAAAAAACAAGTAATTTAAAATAATAATAAATATTCATTTATTTAAAAAATATCATAAAAAAAATTCTTAAAATTTCAAACCAAACGTGTTATGATATTTTCTATTTTGAGAAAAAAAATTCAGAATGACAAATCAAACTCATTTAATCTTAAAACAAACTCTCTAAACAAAAAACTGAAAATGAATTCAAATCTGGATATTGAAACACACTAAACTTATGTGATTCCTCCATTGTTTTTGGGACTTCTATCCCAACCATTCTATCGTGGTTCTATTTTTACTAATATCAGCATCGTTATGAACAAGGACAATCCAGCTTTAGCAATTACGCAAAAAAATACCGCTCTATGAGCATACACAGTCATGTCCATTTGCGTACAGAGACACGTATGTAGCCACGTATTGATAAACACTACATTAACACCACCTTTCATCTGATCATGAACAAGAAATCGAAGCCAATAATTAAGTACATTGATAATTGGAATGAAAAAAAAAAGGGACAAGGACAAGAACAAGAACTACCTTGTCATATTGTATACAATTCTTCAGTTAATCTGATTTTAGTATCTGTTGTATTTTCTTGTCGACAAGAACACAAAACAAGCAAAGAATCATAGGAATTTTCATAATTTCAAGAACTATTTCTAACTATGAACTCAAAGAATCAAATAACAAATCCATCATCATCCAACAAATTGTGATAAAACAATATTGATAAACACTAGCAGTGACGGCTCATTCGATCAAATTCAGCAGGAAGGCAATTAACAAAACAAAGGATATGACATTTCCTCTACTCAGAATGCTAGAAGAAGAAATATCATGGGCGCCAACGGTATAACTGTTTCCCGACTTTTCGTCCCTCACTTTAATGCTCGAAGAGCCTGAGATAAACAACAAAAAAGCTTTGATGAAAATTTCATGAAGCATCAAGTTTACAATCAAAATGGCACTAACATATCATATTGCGGATAATTTAGAGACAAACATATTGCCTAATGACTCTGTAAACCACATGTGAACTAGAAGTTATTTGCTAGTCCTGGTACAGAAGTCGATTGATAATAATAATTGACACTACCAATTCTCACACGGGTTAATTCAGCTATCAGACAGACATAGACCAGCGACCCTGTTAACCATACGTATAATATTTACAATCTAACAATTATCAGTTGGTCCTTGTACAAACCTTTTTTAGAGCTCATTTTTGTCTAAATAATTCAAAGGAGAATCTGGATTTCACAAGCCCGCCTCACAGCATTGTAGAATAAAAGGGAGACGAAAGGGCAGTGATGTATATACATGCTCTCTTGATCTCATCGTTGATCCATATAATACATAATCAGGTTTTATGCTGTCTATTTTAAAAGTACGAGTATGGAACAGAACTCTAATTTGTACACACTGCATCCAAGATTAGACTGGGAAATAGATAAAATTCTGTTCTGAGAAAAATTTAGTACTATTATCACTTTTTATTAATCAAAACAGTGAATGAAAACTACCCATCCACTCCAAGATTAATTTATACCCCTTCCACCAGAACTGAATTGACTTATTTTGGGTTTTTGGCCAAACAAGAATGATTTTGGAATATAACGTTCTGTTAGCTTATTAGTTTCAGAGAAAACAAGTTATATGTTTAAAAATTGCCATTAGCTTACTGCTATTGGAAGACAATTTTTATTCAATACAAAATAAATCAATGCAAAATATGTTATCAGAAAAAAATAATAATAATAAAATCCACTGATAGAGGGAGTATATCTTATTATCTTCATTTGTAAAAAAATTTCGTTCACAGGTTTTTGTTATTTATTAATATGTAAAAAAATACATGAATTCCTTTATTTCTTTTAATAATGAACAAAAGGTTTAATGAAAGCTATGTACCAACAACTAAAGTACAAACACAATCAAACTATAACGAAAGCACTGATCTAAAGAAAGTATGAGATAATCAATTCCAAAAAGAAAAATTAAACTGTGAGTAAAGAAGCAATGCAAGAACTTGAAACTCACAGTTATGTTCTGTCCATCCAATGGTCTGATTTTCGAGATCATACACAACAAGCTTGTTTGATAAGACAATATCTGCATTTACAAAGAATTCGGAAATTATAAATCAATATCCATTCAACTTGTTCATGATCCAATTCAACTGTGACGCATCCCAGTACTTGCCACTTCATACTTTGAAAGTGGATTTATTACTGCTAAGAGAGGAGCCAAAATAAATAAATGAGTAATGAGAGGAAGTCCGTATTTCAAAACATAAAAACACCAATTCCTACTAACTCAGATCTTACTACCAAAAAAGATAGATTACGAAAGTATAAATTCTAGATAGCATTACCCAAGAGTAAGTACACCTAATTGACTAAAAAAATAAGTAAAGCTTGAAATGTACCTCCCAACAGGGTTATTTCCTTTCCATCCTTAGTTTGCATTCCACTGCTCTGCCAACCAATACACCACTCCTCATCCTGCAAAATCATTAAGTGAAAGTACTCAAGGGAACATATGCAAACCAAATGAATGAATTAACATCCAAAATATGTTCCAGCTTACTTACACTAATTTTGAATAGATATTCATGGGGATAAACCGTCAAAGTAAGTGAGCCCTCAAAATGAAAAGTGACATATGGAAATCCATTATCAACACTGCACAAACAAGTGACACCCAGATTTAGTTTGGAGATCATAATAGTGAACAAAGTAAATTAATAGCTTAATAAATCAATGTTCAATTGAACGATTTAAATCTTGCTACCAAGATAATGGCACCGTGCTATTCGTATTGAACGTGACATTAATAAACTTATTTATCGTTTCTATGGAGCAAAGCCAATCCATATAAGTGTACCACAAATACAAAAATAAGAAACTGAAGAAAGCTAAAGTTTATGACCATCTTTAGATAATTGAAGATATTTTTACATCAGACAAATAGTTAAGTTAGGCCCAACATCTTGACGATGATATCGCAATTCAATAGACTTTACATACGCACTATCCATGTTTATCGTCAATCAGAGCTTGTATTTCTATATTTAGCCCTTGTTTGATCCTCATTATTTCCAAAATACATTTTTCTCATTCTTCTTTTCAACCACACATTCTTTAATAAAATAATATTACACGTAAACCCAAAACATTTTCTTATTTTTTAAACACACATTCTCCATCAATCTACTATTCCAAAATGCATTCTTAACTTTTTATTGGGGCTCAAACAGGCTCTTAGTTGGATGCCACATGTATATGATCATCTTCCACAAAATGTTAATTATCACAAAACTCATTATGACAGTCAAAAGGAGCTGCTAGCTTCCTATCATAAGATACGAATTCCATACAAAATGTTATATTAAGCATAGTGGACTAATCTTGAGATATCCACTGATAGACTGGATGTTTCTTAAAAGTTAAAACTGACCAATTTGCAAATCAATCTCTGTCCAGTAATTGACACCCCTACCATTTGCCATAGTTAGCCAACAAAGATACACAGCGAGCAACATCCCCTAATCAGAATATTTTCAGAAACTACAAGCATACGTCAAGCCTTCACTTTTAAACTAGAATAATGAGCCAAAAGTGTGGCACTATCAACCTTGCTCATTGCTCTGTTCTGATGACAAACTTTAAAGAGACTTGGGCAGACCAAAAAGGAAGCAATTAAGATCTTAAAACTCAAAAAGAAAAAGTCCCAATTAACTATTAAAGACTTTTGGATCACTCATAACAACCTTGGGTGGATATGATAATGATGAGTAGGTGTTTTTAAAAATATTTCTATATTCTTCCAATACTAGTTCTAAAAATTACAAATGACACAATTTTTTTATATGTCATTTGCTGAGTAATCCATGCAATGATGACTGATGAAATAGATTCTGTGTCCCAATATGCACATGAAAATTTTGGATGACAACAATTTCATTTCAAATAAAATCCTTCGTCCACTCCCCACGTATTTCTTTTGATTGAAACACATCTCCATCTTCAATGCTACTAGCTCTTCAATTCTTTGGCAAACATGTTTTGGAAATTTGGATAACTTTTTTGATCCTCAGCATTCCAAAGCCTAAGTAGAAATAATCCAACATACCAAGTTTGTTTTCCTCTCACACTGTTTTCTAGCATACTAACGAAGTTATGTTGAATGTAGCTTGAGTTTACATATCTTTCCAAGCTCCCATCCCAACTTATCATGCACTTAGACAAGAAATAGTGGAATGTGATATTACTTTCACCAGCAATCGAGAATACAAGCGCCTATGTTGACATGATATCACTTTCTTATGGCTTTACACGAAATTCGAAAGAATCAAAAGGACAATGATCATAGATGCCATGATTATGACTTCTTCACCCCAGAAAAAGAGCAGCAACCTTGAAAAGAAGATCATCATTAAGAATTATGAATACTTCTACAATAGACTAAATTATCTTTTTCTACAACTCCCAACTTTTTTCCATATTATTATTTCCATCCAATCTTCATAGTAACCATAGAACCTTGTGAATCCAACTTAAAGAGATGTTTTATACAGTTGAATGTCCAAGTCAAACATCAGAAACTAGTTCAGATCAGATAATTCTGAAGTCCAAAGGTACTACTATCTATACTCTGAACTCATCTCTTGGGGAAACTATACATGATTTTCAAGGAAACCTAAAGCCATCAAAGGGACTTCAATTNAGAGAGAGAGAGAGAGAGAGAGAGGAATAAACTGAGGAGCCTTACTTGCCACTGTAATCAAAGCATTTGAACTGCTGCTCAACTATTTGAGTTTTTAGATTAGGTTGCCGTGCCATCACCTACCGGGAGGGGGGGACACAAAAAAATAGATTAGATCGATGAAAAAAGTATGCTATGCAAGTCCTTAATTTTCGGATAAATTTATGGATTGGCAAGGCTTAAAGTATTGGACACACCTTTCCCATAAGTGGTTCATAGATCTCATCTGGAAGATAGGCCAAGGTTGTACCACTATCAATTATAGTCCCTCTCTGAGAACCCGTGCCAAACAAATCTGTTGGAAGGTCTAGAGAATCACCACCCACCTCAATTGACTTCATAATAACATTATAATGTGCCCTAAGATAGTAAGAAGACTTATATTAAAGACAAAAAGATGAAGATATTATTTGAAAGGACTTCGAATCTCAAATTGGCACACATTTCAAAGAAAGAAAATTCTTCAAATAGAGATCTGTATTAGAGCACAGACACAATGACCAAATTTGGAATCTGAGTTTTGAGTCTTGACTGGGGAATCACTCATCTTATAATTGATTTTTTTTTTTTTTTTTAACCCTTCTGCATTGCTTCCTTACTAAAAGATGACCATCTTAAAAGAATAGATGTACAAAACTATTCTAACACCACTAAAAGAATACCATCTCCCCGGTAATGATATTGAATGAATCTCCAATTAACCTATAAATGTAATATATAAGTTACTGAACTACAATTGGAATGGTTACTTGATGAAACAGATCCACACCTACACAGTTCATTGAACTGAACATAAATGGCACGTTTCTATTGTAAATAACTCCATTATTCTGCAGTTCATAAAGTTACATACTCATTTGGGACTAAAGGTGTTGATTCTACTTTTGGCTGCACCAACTGTCCAATTGCAAATATGCCACCTCCGTTGACACCATCCAGGCAATGTGAAAATATTTTCTTCACTTTCCCAGACGAAGCAAGCTGCGAAAGCACGGATGTATTTGCTTGTCCAAAACCAAGAATCCCGTCAACAGCTTCAGAAGATGAACCTAACTCTCCAGATTGTTTAGATGAGCACCTATCTTGGATCACAGACATGTAAGCTACAGAAACAGCATACACTTTTTATGCACGTAATTTGTTTACAATATTGAAGAGCTAAACTTGCAATGGTTGGCCATTTGTAATGTGGAAGGTATAAAAATGTATAAAGCAGTTTCAAGTGGCGGAGTAATATTAGTGATAGACCAAGACAGAAGACTCCATGTCAGAAATGAGGACGACAAGGACTCACCCAAATGCTATGGACCCATTCATGGATGAGGTTTGAAGGTTTCCAGTCACTTCATCAAGTTTGATGTAATCTCTAACGAAATATCCCTCTGTTCTGCTCCCATCTCCATAAGTAACAGCATAGTCACAGAGTGCTCCCACCTTGCAATCTGAAGATGGGCCATTAAACATAGCAGAGCAAAAATCTTGATCGCAAGTAACTGCCTTTCCAGTCGAGGAGGCCTTCAAGTCATACTGCTTCAAAGCTATCTGTTCCACAGCAAAAAATAAAAATAAAAAAGCAACTCCTTCCAGTTTCACTCGCATTCTAATCCTTATGATAAAGAGGTTGCATCAAAATGAGAAGAATCAACATACTTTAAGGTCGCTTTTCGTAGGACACTTGTCACAGCCAACACAATTCACCCACAGAATGTCACTTCCTGTATCGACCTGGACGTGATAGTCATTGGAAGGATTTCCGATTGAAAGTTTAGTGTAATAGAGCCTGCATCAATTACTCATATAGCTAATTGAGACCGATAAATGTATCACATGCATGTGTGTATATTTCGCTTGTCAATTATTTTCTAACCTGTCAGAAATATCGAGGTTCAAGCTTAACTAGTGTTTTCAACTTTCAGTTACATCACATACAGTTCTGTTTTGCAAAATAAAATTCTTGCAATTTAACATGGTTAATGCAAGGTAGATGCAGAATCAGTATTCAAAACAAAGTCAAATTGGTGCAACTTTACATCATTTCTCCAATGAGCTATGTAAAGGCCAAACTAACTTAAAACCACTATGAATAGATTAAGCGACTAACAATTAATACCATTTGGGCTGGAAAGCAAAAGGAAATAAATTCATGCACATAAGTAATATAAGCACATTTCAAAAACTTCTATAATTTTGAGCAAATTACGATAGGTATATTAGAGTATACAGTATGCTTGCATTAAATGTGAGCCTAGAAAGTGGGATCATGCAAGGAAAAATAAATCCAGTCTCAATCAAATTTTAGGAGACATAAGAAATTATGCTCCATATATTTAAAACATAAAATCACAAAAAGCACAATTGCCTTTACAATTTACAACATACAGGAAAAGAAGAATAAAGACAACCCAGCAAAAAAAAAAAAATCTTCCTTGAAGCTAAAGCAAGATCAACACAGCAAAAATGAGCTGGATTTGAACAAACATGTAAGGCCCCCAAATTAATTCACAGCATTAATCAGAAAAATACAGCTAATCAAGCCTGCCTTTGGAATTCAAATTCAAATTATTCAAACCAAATTTAAATAAAATTTTCACATAATTCAAATTCAATCCCAATTTATCCACACACAAATAAAAGTCAATACATACGCAGCGTCCGTGGGCTGGCCGTTGCCGCCTAAAGGCAAATCAACCGCCCCCAGCATTCTGCCGTGCCGGAACGAATCATGCGCCCGAAATGCATTAAGTGCTGATCTCCCCAGCCCACGCCCTCCGAATTTATGTTGAACTTTAAATACAACATTCCCCTTCACCAAGCAAATAAATTGAACCGAGAACAGTAGCAAAAGTAACAATATACGCCTTTTCAGATCCATCATCACACATTCAATTAAACAATGAACAACTTATTGAATTCTTGAACAAGAAAAAAAAAACAACGCCGAGGAAAAAAAACCTCCTCTATAATTATATAATTTTTGTGGGTTTTTGGAAAGAACGAAAAGGGGCGGACTTGGGAGGTCCGTAAGAAAGAAAGCAAAAGAAAATTGAGTTTCAAACAATGAGAAAGAGAAATTAACGGAAAAAAGATAATGGCAGTTCTTAAAATATAGATTATGCGATAAGTTATAATAAACCTGAAGACTCGAAATTTAGGTGAATTCTAGGAAAGATCTCTCTCCTTGTGGGGTGATATGTTTTGCCTGAAAAGGAGTGTGTGTATGTGTGTGTTTTTTGCGTCTGAAAATGAGAAGAGAAGGTTCTGTACAACTCATGGACACACGATGTGGTCGCTGTGTCTATCTATATATCTATATTTAGATGGATAAATACACACATGACAATTGTCGAAGGTTCAACTTTCAACTTTCGAGTTGCCTTCAATTTCTGCTAGAATTAATTTATGAAAATTCTCGAAGCATTTGAGCGTTTACTTCCACCTTCATTATATGAGCTTAGTATTGAGGGGCCAATCTAGGATAAGCATTAAAATTTTAAGATGACTTGATATTAGAGTCTCACACGAGTAAGACGAATGATGAAAGTCAAGAGAATGACTTTACATGTAATACGATATATTTTTCGTTACTAATTTTATGTATCGATCTCATTATTTTACAAGTGAAAAGAATAATTACGTAGTTTTATAACTATACTTTTTATTATTTAGAGGCTGTCTGGTGGAGCTATTCAGCAAATTTTAAGCAAAAAAATGGATGGGTCCCACATGTGAGAGCCAAAGTCAACAATGGCTGCAATTTTTCATTTCTAACAGTTGGAAAATCAATTTTTTGGCCTTAAACTGCTCTCCCAGACACACTCTTAGACATTTTTTGAGATTATTATTATTTTTATTTATAAATTGGTTTCCTTCCACATTTTTACTAATCTAATTGTATAAATTCTTGAAAAAGTGAAAATAACCAACGCTTTTGATTCAAAGCTTTATATTTTGAGACACCTTAAAAAAAAATTTAAAAATAATAATAAGTGCTTGTTTGAAAAAAAACTTAAAAAAAATAAGTTTTCAGTTGTTAATTAAAAAATTTTAAAAAAATCAATCCTCAAGAATAATTCTCCTGGAAATCTTGGCAAAAGAACTCCCCTGATGTTGAGGTAATTAAAACATGAAAGATATTGAAGAAGCAGTTTATATGTGGGACAGTGGGAACTAATGAACTTCATAGCCGTCAATTCGTTTATTCAACGTAATTATATATACTTCGCTTCATTTATTGTTTAATTTATTGAAGATTGAAAATAGTTAAATCTTGAACCATTATCACACGTTGATATTGACTAATCGTGTTAATTTTGATTATTATATTGAAATCACACGAATCTTATGGATGAAAAACGTTTTCCGAGACCAGATGCACAAAACAAACAAAAGAAGTGATTTTTCACTTTTCATAAAAAGTGACTGTCTCTATTTTTCAAAGAATAAGAATTTAAGATGACCTATTTTGATGGGCAAGATGAAAAATAGTCATTTCTCTATCTCTTTATTTTAATCAAAATAGCTGTCTTTGTTACTTGAGGAAGTAGAATGAACCATACAAATCAATTAAGACGAAAATATGAAAAATGTCCAATTTTGAACCTCCATTTTTGAAAAATGGCCTAAAATTGAAAGGTTCGCATCCATGGTCATTTTTTAAAAATGGATGAGAATATCATTGACTTTTCTCAATTCCCAACTAAGTCACAGTGATTGATGAGCACTGACGATCATCTATAAAAAGTTCCCGAGAGAGGTGCGAGGCACTCAATTTATTCATATTCAACTTCCTTTTTGGACTAAATTTTGCAGCTTCACTTTGTTTTCAACATTGTTTTTGACACATGTTAGACAATAAACTAATTCGGAGACATCTCAATAAAGATCGAGGATCGAATGGGACCTCAACAAACTGTAAATAAATATGGTAATCCTATATCTATACATCATGATTTCCAATACATGAAAATCCAAAACCAAGAATAGAACCACATTATATGAAGTACATTAACTGCTTACAACCCTAATTTTAAAACTGTATAGTCCTACAATGCCCGAGTTTTATTCAGCATATAATAATCAGTACTACATCTGGAATTTAAAACTGTACGGCACCTATTAAACAAGAGTTTTAGCCCCTGTTTGGCCCCCATTATTTGGCATTTTTGATAGTTGAAAATTTTTGGAATAGTGATTGATGGGAGAATGTGTGGTGGAAAAGTAATGAAAAGTTTTAGATTTATGTATAATATTATTTTATTTGATGAATGTGTGATTGTAATGAAGAGAGAGAAAAATTTAATGTAATGTAATTTAATTTAATGGAGACCAAACAGGGGCTTAGTGTCTATCAGCTAAATCTCTGATTACTAATGAGTAGGTATCCATTATCTTTGCACAAATCAAGCCCTGCTAATTGTATTTTTTAGACGGATAACAGTATGTATTGAGTATTGTCCCTATATAAGATTAAAAAGACCATACTTCTCCAGGCATGCATCAAGCTAGAATGTGAACTCAGATATGGCTAAAATACTATTATGCAAATTGGTTAGCATAGCACAAGGTCTAGCAATTAACATAATCCTTTAGTTTAATGTTACTCATTTACTTCATAGTTTTTTCTCAAGCCATAATTCCTTTTCCCATTTCATTAGGCTCTAAGCTGAGTTGAGCATGTAATTTAGTCAAGCCACACACACATACAAAACCATGTATATAGTCTCTACAAGAATAAGAATTGGGCACAGGCACGGTCGCAGGTAATGGCATTTGCATATGCATTTCCATAGTAGGTTTTCCAACTCTCATCATCTTGATCAGTTCACATCTTCAAAACGCCAATCCCGGATTCTAAATACAAGCCTTTTATGTTCGTGCTCTGAACAGGCATTAATCCCAATGCTACCAGTAGCAAAACTTTCATCTTTCTTCAATCTCTAGCTTCGTAGTTTGTAATGTGATGGAAGATGATGCAGTATGATATGGGAGTGTGAACGTCACCCTTTTAATCAAAATTCTAGCCGTTAACTATCAAATCAGCCACCATTTTTTACTTCCCCTCTCACAGGTGGGGCCCACAGGTTGACTATAACGGCTATAATTTTGATTAAAATTTCACAAAAATTGCTCCCAAACACGCTCTATATGAAGTACATTAACTGCTTACAACCCTAATTTTAAAACTGTATAGTCATACAATGCCCAAGTTTTATTCAGCATATAATAATCAGTACTACATCTGGAATTTAAAACTGTACGACACCTATTAAACACGAGTTTTAGCCCCTGTTTGGCCCTCATTATTTGACATTTTTGATAGTTGAAAATTTTTGGAATAGTGATTGATGGGAGAATGTGTGGTGAAAAAGTAATGAAAAGTTTTAGATTGGTGTGTAATATTATTTTATTTGATGAATGTGTGGTTGTAATGAAGAGAAAAAAAAATTTTAGTTGAAAATTTTTGGAATAGTGATTGATGGGAGAATGTGTGGTGGAAAAGTAATGAAAAGTTTTAAATTTGTGTGTAATATTATTTTATTTGATGAATGTGTGGTTGTAATGAAGAGAGAGAAAAATTTAATGTAATTTAATTTAATGGAGGCCAAACAGGGGCTTAGTGTCTATCAGCTAAATCTCTGGTTACTAATGAGTAGGTATCCATTATCTTTGCGCAAATCAAGCCCTGCTAATTGTATTTTTTAGATAGATAACAGTACGTATTGAGTACTGTCCCCATATAAGATTAACCAGACCATACTTCTCCAGGCATGCATCAAGCTAGAATGTGAACTCAGATATGACTAAAATACTATTATGCAAATTGGTTAGCATAGCACAAGGTCTAGCAATTAACATAATCCTTTAGTTTAATGTTACTCATTTACTTCATAGTTTTTTCCCAAGCCATAATTCTTTTTCCCATTTCATTAGGCTCTAAGCTGAGCTGAGCATGTAATTTAGTCAAGCCACACACACATACAAAACCATGTATATAGTCTCTACAAGAATAAGAATTGGGCATGGGCACGGGCACGGGCACGGGGCACGGGCACGGATAATGGCATTTGGATATGCATTTCCATAGTAGGTTTTCCAACCCTCATCATCTTGATCAGTTCACATCTTCAAAATGCCAATCCCGGATTCTAAATACAAGCCTTTTATGTTCGTGCTCTGAACAGGCATTAATCCCAATGCTACCAGCAGCAAAACTTTCATCTTTCTTCAATCTCTAGCTTCTTAGTTTGTAATGAAATGGAAGATGCATACCCTCACACTTGCAGTGGGAAATTAATGGCCCAAATACAACTATTCCAATAACTAACTATACAATTCCAGGAGCCCAACAGGGTAAGATGGTGACTGATAACTGGAGAGATGTGGTGTGGAGACTCATATATTGCCTTGGAAGGATGCTATCAAGGCGATTTCTAATGAGTCAATGGTGGTTTTCAGGGTGGACTTCATCATTGACATCAAATCAAAGCAATTGTTTTCATCTAATGAAAAGAAAATGGTTTTATTTCTAGGCTTCGAGGTAATAATATAATTTAATAGAATCATAACAAATTGGTGGTTGCGATGAATTATTTGTTTCTTGCGTGTACTAGAACTGTTGATTTAACTTTATAGTACTTTATTGATAATCATTGATTCAAAACAAGCATATGCGTGTTTTCTTGAATCATTTTGATCCAAAGGAATTCATATGTTACAATATTATTGACAAGTTACATCACGAGAGCAAAAGAAAGGAATACTAACTGGATCTTGCATTCTCAATGGCACCATCTAGATCATGAAATTTGGCTCCGGTAACTTCTTTGAAAATTTTGCCATCCTTAAATATTTTGAACGTAGGAACCACTTTAAGTCCCAACTCCTTAGCCAGTGGCTGCATACCAAATATATATCTGATAACATCATCTGAAGAGAGATATATATAGAAGAAAAGTAAAATTGCCACAAACCCTGTTTTCGTGATTACAGTCCAACTTTAGGAAGATAACATCAAGATACTTTTCTGATAATTCTCGGAATTTTGGAGCCATCGCCTTGCACGGACCACACCTGCAAGTTGAAGATCAAATCAGGAGAAACGTGTTAACAACTACTGTAGATCAGAGAAACATTAGTCTAGCCATTTTATTATGGAAGCAAGGACAATGTTCATTCTAAAGGAATACTAAATAACTCAAGCTTGTGAAACATTAGTCCAGCAATCATGTTGGAGTTGTTGAAAACAAAGTTTAAATAAACAAATGGGCCATCTTTCCAGCTGCTTAAGTTTTTGGACGAGTAGTTTATTGTGTAAGCAAATAATAGCATGCCGAAACAATTAAGACTATTGATATGCTACCAAAAATAAATATAAAATTTTTTAGCTGCACTAAAATAATGTAATATCCATCCAATCTCTCTCCCATCACTTTCAGCTACGTACTTCTTCATCTACTGTACACGTAATTCCAATTCCAATTTCTCTCCAACTATATCATAATTGATTCAAACTCATTTACAGAAGCAATCTCTGTAGGAAAGAATCCTAGAAGAAACAACAGCCAAAAGAAGAAGAAACTCCAGGGAAATCAAGACTCGAACAAGAAGAATCGTTGTCTGATGGTTGCCCCCTCTCAGATTTATATTGCTTACAGGAATCACCGGCAAATAGTTTTGAGGATTGAACAAGCCTTTGAAAAATTAATCACCAAGCAAAAGGTAATAACTCTCAAGAACAAGAACACTTTTGGAATTTCTTGAATCTAATGAGTGATTTGGAGTTTGTAATAGTATATTTATGTTTTTTTTCTATCAAAAAACCATCTATATAGAGATGAAAGCATCCCAAGAACGAATGGATACAAAGGTAGATAAAAGACGCCGTTTTTCGTCAACTGAAGACCTCCAAAAAAGCTGGGAAGCTCCCAGACTTGAAGAAGAAAAATCTGCTTACGATATCTGAGCAACACGAGTGCTCTAATGCAAGATGCAGTTTTTGCTTCTTGCTCATTCCCCTCCTATTCTTTCTCCGCCTTTTCTATCCATACTTTCCTGACTTGAAAAGTCTCCATACCCGTGTGACTTAATTGATATATAATTGAACAAATAAAACTAACAATCTCAAATTGGAAACAAAAGAACATATAAGTTTCTCGATACTTTCATTTTATGTACAAAAATCAACTAGAATGGAAACTAGAAAATCAGAAAATAGAATAGAAGGTGGAGATAGTAATGTTACCACTGGGTGTACATATCGAGGACGACAGTCTCATCACCAGCGGCTTTAACAATGGGCCAGAAGGTATCCTTAGTGACATCTGTCACTTGACCCACCTCTGTAACAGCACCGGCGGCGTCGTCCAAGCTGGCCTTGACTCTGAAGCAGCCCATGCACTGACCTCTCTCTTTTCTCTTAATCGTCACGTGGCTATAATCACCAGTGACGCCGCCAAGGGAGTGCTTGGTGGACCATGATGATGCGGAATATTGCGCCACTGAACCAAGCAAGTTCCTAGGTGGCGCCCTGAATACTTGCACCTGTAGAGACATTGATTCTTTTAAATGGTAGAGAAGAAATGGGAGCTCCGAGTTAAATTGAACGGCTACTCGGCCACGGCAACTGGTGTGGATAATTTGTTTTGATATTTTAAATGACTAAATTACCCTCCAGATCTTTCATTCTTGCGCGAATATTCCTGGGTGTTTTTATGATTTCGACTCGAATACTGACAAATTACAAACGAAAATGGGCCACCCAAATTCTCTCTCAATATGAAAATTCAAAATTGAGAATAAAATAAATAAATAAATAAATGGATGGTTAACGGCTTCAGAAAAACGACATCGTTTCATTGGACAAAATCATGAACAACAACGACAACAACTGTCATCTCCACATAAAAGGAAAAAAATAAATTAAAATAAAAAATTCTCGCTTGGGTTTCATCGATACTGCAGTAACTGCGCTGGCTTCTTCTCCTCAAGCGGATTCCCTCAAAATACACGCAGTTCACACACTAACTACACTGTTTTACACCGTAACACCAACCTTCACTGTTCTGAAGATACTATATTCTCTCTGTTCGTTTTCCAGTCTTCTCGGAGTGCAGTGATAATAATGGCATCGTCGTTTCAAACAGCTACGGCAGCGTGCGTCACGGAGAATGGACAGAAATCCACTTATTCACCAGTTTGCCGTCGCCATTTATTCCATAGATCACGCCCTAATAAGGTCTCATATCGGCTCTCTTCTAAGCCCAAGTCCGCTTTTCCTCCAAGGTCTCTCCTCTCTCTCTCTCTCTCTCTTAATTGTGTAATAATTATGGTTTTTTCAAACGGATAAAACATTGGCAAAAGATACATTTAATTTCATCCACAATTTTTTGATTTGATTTATTGGACTGGGTCTCCATTTTCTCACTGTTCATGATCTGTATAACTGTAGAAAATGTGTTTTATTAGTCCATAGAATAGTTTTTTTTTTTTTT